GTAACCTGCCGTAACTTTCCCGGCCACCTCTTGGTCAGAACCCTACCTCAGCACACACAACCTATGCTCTGGCAGCAGCCATGATGCACACCTCAATCTCCTCTTCTGCTTTCAGCTTCAGCAAACATCATTGAAATCTCTGGGCCGGCTCATGGCGGTCCTGCTCAAGACAGAGCCCACCTGTGGCTTTTTCCAGAACATAGTCCATGTGAGTATATGTGGGGCAAGGGAGAAAGCATGGTAACTGTCAATAGCGGGGACAGAGATTTGGGGACTGAGAGGACAGTCAGAGGGGGAGAAATCTCCTGCTGACATGCCAGTTCACTGCGAGCTCAAAAATGGGCAGAGAAATGAGCCCTGCAGGGGGAAAGGCAGGAGCCAGCCCTGGCAAACCACAGCTGAGGAAAAGCTCCTGGGTTAGGAGGCAGGAGTGTCTGCAGAGAGCAGGGGCAGCAGTGCTGGTGCTCAGTGAGGCAGGGGGCCACATGGAACCAGGAAAGGCCCTAAGGGAAAGTGTCAGGAAAGGAGGGACAGGGAGAGGGGTGGCAGGAAGGGAAAGAAAAGATGTCCTCAGTGAGACAGATGCTCTGCCACAGGTCCTGCAGAGATCTATGACATCAGACAACGTGTGGGAGCGCAAGAGGGCCCTGCAGACCTGCTCCCAGCTGCTGGCTGTTTGTGAAGAGCTTCAAGTGAGTAAAAAGCCCATTCACATGCCCTCTGCTCCCTCCCCAGTACCCCTGAGCTGGAAGACAAGCTCCACTTAGCTGTTCATGCTGTGTCACGGTGTGGTGAAGGCACAGGCGGGAGAAGCTGGGGTCGCCTACAGCTTTGTTCCTGCCTCTCACCCCTGCAGAGAGGAGATATCTGTGAGCACTTTGGCTCCTTGGTGGGATTGCTGGCACCTCTGACATGTGACCCTATGCCCACATCCCGCCAGCTGGCCGCCACCTGTCTGAGCTCCCTTCTCCGAATCCAAGGTGAGTAGAGCAGGCATGTGCCAGCCCTGTGCCCTCCTCTGCAGCACTACCAGAGCCCCACTGGCTGGGCCCTGTTTACAGGAGGGAGAGGCACCATGCACAGATCTCTTCTTGTCCCCATCCTGTCCTCTGTCTCTCCCCCGTGGAAAGCAGTTCCATTTCCAGAAGCATGACTTCCCTTTTCTCCCTGTGCTCTTTCCAGCCAAAGCAGCCAACAGAGACATCGAGACAGGAGACATCAGGAGTCTGTATGAGGGGCTGCATGCCTGCAGCACCATCTATCAGCTCCAGACCTCGTCCAAAATGGCAAGGGTAAGTGGACCCAAAAAGGGGTGGTGGGATCTCAGTGCATGGGCTTCTGCACGACCCTGTGCTACTCCCAGCCTCTCACACCATTTCCAGAATGAGCTGTCACCCTGAGACTGCTTTTCTGAGCAAGTAGCAGGAGGCTCTGAGCTATGTCTGGCCTCCAGGTGCCCAGTGCAAGGAGCTGACTCCATGTGTGTTTGTGTGCATGTGTGACTGTGGCTGCTGGGAGGTAGGCTTTGCATGTAAGCAAACACCACGGGTGGAGAAGCTGAGAGAAGGCTCAAACGCCTTCTGTATAAATAGCAGGGTACAGACAGTAGGAGCACTGATGGCTTCCTGAATGACCGCCAAGCTGCTGAACTAAGAATGCCCTCAAGACTGCTTTACGTTTTGAAGAGCTGCCCCAGAGCAGTGACGGGATCTCTCTTGTTTCTCATTTCTCTGCAGATCGTGTGCAGAAACTTCCCCTTAGAACGCACCGTCGACTTCATGATGGCCATCAAGGAGATCTTCCGGAGAGCCAAAGGAGTGCGTGTGCGTGCTGCTGGGAAGTGGATGACCACCTTTCTGCAGATGTATGGAAAGGACATCTGTCGGGACGTAAGAGACTTTCTTCCACATATCTTGGACTTCTGCTGGCTGTTGCACTATGCCTTGTGCTATTTGCCTCTTGTGCTAAAGAAGTACAGCCAGAGTGCAGAGCCAGGACATGGACAGGGTGGCTGGCATGAAATTTAGGCTTAGGCCT